TAAAAGATAGTAACTCCTGAATTTCTTTTAAAAACTTGCATAAATTCAATATCAAAACATGTTAAATAAAAAACAAGAAAACTGCAAGCAGTTTTCTTATGTGGCAAAATTTTTAGTAAAATATTACTTAAATCCAACCATCTCAGAAGAAAAATTCCCCATGAGGAAATAGAATCATTCCAGGAAGGCAAAGATCGGTCCACAAATATATCAGTACAAATCATAACAACAAACAAGTAAAGAGAATGACACCATTAAGGCTATCAAAAGCACCTGAAACAATTCAGAAGCCATTCTTAATAAAAATACAAATTAAAAAGGAACATAAAAATCTCTTTAAATATTGCAATGACTACCAAAACATCACCAGAAAACATTATGCTTAAAAACAAGTCCAGATCAGAAGACTTAATATCATTAAGGTGACAAAATTATCCCAAATGATGTACAGGTTCAACAAAATCCACATCAAAATCCCAGCTGGCATTTTTGCAGAGGGTAACAAGCTGATCTGAAAATTCATATGGAAATACAAGGGACCCTAAATAGCCAAAATGTTGAATAAGAACATAGTTAGAGGACACAAATTTTCCTATTTCAAAACTTAATAGAAAGCTACACAAATCAACACAGTGCAGTATTGGAATAAGGGTAGACATATAGATGAATGAAACAGAATCCAGAGCTCAGTGATAAACTCTTATATTTACAGTCAACTGATTTTAGATAATAATTTCAATACAATTCAGTAGGGGAAAGAAAAGACTATAACATTAAAAGCACAAGCAACAAAAAAATATATAGATAAATTGGACTTCATCACAGATAAAATCTTTTGTGCTATAAGGTTACTACCAAGAAAGTGAAAAGACACACACAAAATGGAAGAAAATATATGAAAATTATATTATCTGGAAAGGGACATATATCCAAAACATACAAACACTTAAATTCAATAATACAAAGACAAATAACCCAGGTAGTGGGGGGAAGGTGAGGGGGTGGAGGGACTGAACAAAAATGAAAAAGGACTCATGGACATGGACAACAGTGTGGTCATTGCTGGGGGGGAGGGGGATATAAGGGGACTAAATGGTAATGGAAAAAAATGCAATAAAGATTTAAAAAATAGACAAAAGATCTGAATACATATTTCTCCAAAGAGGATATACAAATGGCCAATAAGCTCATTGCCTCAGTCCATTCAAGCTGCTATAATTACCATACCCTGGGTGGTGTAAACAAACATCTTTTTCTCACAGTTTTGGAGAGTGGAAAGTTCAAGATCAAGGCACCAGCAGATTTGGTGTCTGATGAGAACCTGCTTCCTGGTTCACAGATGGCCATCTTCTTCCTGTGTCCTCATATGGCAAAATGGGGGAGCGAGCTCTCTGGGGTCTGTTTTATAAGGGCACTAATCCCATTCATGAGGGCTCTACACTCATGACCTAATCACTTCCCAAAGATCTCACTGCTTAACATCATCACATTGGGGGTTATGGTTTCTTTCTTTTTAAATTTAATTTATTAGGGTGACACTGGTTAATAAAATTGCATAGGTTTCAGGTGTACAGTTCTCTAATACTTCATCTGTATATTGTATTGTGTGTTCACCACCCCAAGTCAAGTCTCCTTGCATCATCATTTATCCCCCCTTCACCCTCTCCTACCCCTCCCCATCGCACTTTCCTTCTGGTAATCACCATACAGTAGTTGGTCAATACCCCCGCCCCGGCCTTTTTTTTTTTTTTTGCTTACTCCCTGCATCTTTTTCATCTAGACCCCCCCAACTCCAGGTTTTCAACATATGAATGAGGAGGACATAAACATCCAGTTCATTGCACAAAATAAAAAAATGCTCAACATCAGTAGTCATTAGGGAAATAAAAATCAAGACCACAATAAAATACCACTTCACGCCCACTGGGATGGCTAGAATCAAAAAGACAGACAATAACAAGTGCTGCTGAGGATGTGACAAATTGGAACCTTCATACCTTGCTGGTGGGCTGTAAAATGATGTAACCATTGTGAAAGCCAGTTTAACAATTCTTCAAAATGTTAAACATCAGAGAGATATGATCTAGCTATTCCACTCCCAAGAGAAATGAAAACACACACCATATAAAAACCTGTACACAAATGTTCACAGCAGCATTATTCATAGTAGCCAAAAAATAGAAACAACTCAAATATCCAGCTGGCGCACGGATAAACAAAATGTGATATATCCTTGAAAATTACTATTATTCAATAAGAAAAAAGGAACGAAGTACTGATACATGCTATAGCATAGATGAGTCTTGAAAATATTATGCTAAATGAAAGGAGAAAAATCACAAAACACCACATATTGTATGAATCCATTTATATAAAAAGTTTAACCCTGGCTGGTATGGCTCTGTGGATCAAGTGCCAGCCTGTGAACCAAAGGGTCGCCAGTTCAATTCCCAGTCAGGACACATGCCTGCGTTGCGGGCCAGGTCCCCAGTAGGGTTACTCCAGGGGCAACCACACATTCATGTTTTCCTCTCTCTCTTTCTACCTCCCTTTCCCTCTCTCTAAAAATAAATAAATTAATTAATAAAAAATAAAATACAACAGAAAATGAAATTACAAAAATGGATAGATTATTTTCCATGGAAATAAAAAAATATATACTAGTCACCATGATGACAAAAATAAATGTAAAGAATATCTAAGAATGAACTTTTTTAAAAAAAAGTGCTGGATCTATAAAAAGAAAACTAGAAAATATTATCATTTTAATGGGTGTTTTGAATCAAGATAAAGTGGTTTTAATATGCATGTTGGAATAAATGCTAAAGAATATTAAAGAAAACAACCAAGAGGAGAACAGTGAGAGGACTAGCACCATTCAATATTAAAAATATTTCTCAAATCAATACAATTTTTTAAAATTTTATTTATTTTTACAGAAGGGAAGGGAGGGAGAAAGAGAGGGAGAGAAACATCAATGTGTGGTTCCATCTTGCGTGCCCCCAAATGGAGACCAGGCCCACAACCCAGGCATGTTCCCTGACTGGGAATCAAACCAGAGATGCTTTGGCTCACAGGCTGGCGCTCAATCCACTGAGCCACACCAGCCAGAGCTAAAATCAATACAATTTTTATAGAGAGCAAGATAAATATATCAGAGGAAGAAATAGAGTTCAGAAATAGAACAATAACATTTGGGAATTTATGTCACAAAAGTGGCATTTAATTGAGTTAGAAAATGGTATTCATTAAATGATTGGTGCTGGCAATTTTCCATCCAAATGGAAAATACAAATGTTGGTCCCATCTCACACCATACCAGAATAACTTTCAGTTGCATTAAAATTTAACTTTAAAAATAAAAATATTAAATATTAAATTTATGGCATATACTTGTTTAAGCACGAAATGTAGGCAAGACAAGACACTCAGGAGCTGTAAAGGATAAAGACATATATCTAATCAGATGATTATCCTTTCTAAGTATATGTGAAGACACATTATAAAAGTCAAGACATAAAGAGAAAAAGGAAATATAATTACAAGAAATGGCACAAGGTTAATATTCACAAATTAGTAAGAAAGACAAGCCACCCAAAGGAATAAAGAGTAAAGGATATAAAGAAAATTTAAATACATCCCAGTGGCCAATAAAGAGAAAAAGATGTTCAACCATTAGTTGTCAGGAAAATGCATGTCAAAATAAGCTAGATATCCTTGTGTTTGGCTCTCAGAATGGAAAAAATTTAAAAAGCACTAACATTCAGTTTGGGAGAGGATCTGGGAGAGTCATTTTATATATTGCTGGTGGGAGTTCCAATTTTACAAGTTTTTAAAAATAATTTGGTAGTATGTATTGATTAAAAACACTTATTCCTGCACCCAATAATCACTCAGATAACAGTCTCTGACTGTAATCAAGAAATCAATAACAAAATTGTCAACGTTTTTGGTAAATCAAAATCTCATATCTAAATAATTAAGGGGTCTGAGAGAAATTAGAAAACATGAGAAGTGAACCATAGTGAAAATGTTTCATATCAAAACTTGGGACATGGGGCTAAAATGTTCTCAGAGAAAAATTCATAAACCTAATGCTTATATAATAAAAGAAAATGATTGAATATTAATTAGATAAGCATCCAATTAGGAATTTTAAAATAAGAATTAAAAAACAGGTAAGAAATAATGAACTCAAGGGCAGAAATTAATAATATAGGAAACAAGATACAGGAGGACCAACAAAATCAAAAGTAGGTTTTGAAAGAACCCCATCTGAAACCCACTATCATTGACCCCATGAAACAGCATATCTGATTCCATAGGTCCCTCCACCAGTAGTTCCAAATAAACGGATCATTCACCCCATGGATCCCCATCATTCACACCAGAGAAACCTTAACCACCCACCCAATAAACCGCATCACACACCGCACAGTCCTCATCACTGATTGATTTTTCAATACTCACCCCACAAACTCTCCACCATTCACACCGCAGACCACTCATTACTCCTTCCAAAGACCTTCGTTACTCACCCCACTGAACTCCCATCATTCATCTTACAGACCCCCATCACTTACCCCACTAACACCCTATGATTCACTGCACGGAACCCTCCATCATTTACCCCACAGACTTCCATCACTAATCCCACAGACCACCCATCATACCTATGCTACAGACCCTATCACTCATACCACATCCCCGATTCCTTATTCCACCTAACCCCTTATCACTCACCACAGACCTCCGGCATTTATCCCACAGATCCAATTACTTACCACAGACCCCATCAATGACCTCTAAGGATCCCCATCAGTGACCTTGGAGGACCCTCATTGCTCATCACACAGATGTCCCCATATCATTGATCCCAGCCTACCGAATACTCACTCCACAGTTCCTCCATCACTCCCACCTCGAACTCTGCACCATTTACCCCTCCTTACCTCCCCCATCACTCATCCCACAGACTATCCACATTTTTCCCCAGTTACCCCGTCACTCATCCATAAACTCCTGCCACTTACTCCGTGCACCTTCTGACCCCAGCGAAGCCCTATCACTCACCCTGCAGAGAACCAAATCCATGTTATAACACCCCCATAATTAGGTGAATACTTTACTGGCACTAAATTGCCCCTGTTAAACTTAGGCCGGGAGCCCTAAATGTTGAAAGTGCATTTGAGAGACTCTTTCATCCTGCACATGCTCAGTGACGCCTGGGAATTGACCATCAGTCTGCAATTACACCAGGTGCACTCACGACATCTCAGTGCGTGTGCGGTGTGTCCAAGGAGAGGCGGGCTTTCAAGGCTTTTTAGTGACTTTTCAGGCAACTAACATGGCTGTCCCCTTGGGAGTATCTCTTCGGGAGTCGCCATCTTGGAAGGGTGGTCATTTATACCGCGGAGCCGGCCGTCCCCAGCTCGATCTCCCCCTGTGGTACTTCCTGGTAGCCGATGGGGCCCAGGCTGTGCCAACCGGACTTCTCTCACTGCACTGTCCCTCAACAGCCGCCGAGGCCCAGGCCGGGCGCTGTCCCTTCTCAGCACGCAGGTGCCGGCACTCAGCTGTATCCCCAGGGGCCCGCGGCTGCTTCACCCGTAGCCAGCCGCCGCCCCCAACCCCCAGAGCAGCTGGAAAGATTCCTCTGAGCAGCCAGCTCAGAAATTGGCCCGCCCCCGTCCCAGCCCCCGCCCTGGTCTCACTGCTGGGGGACTGAACGGTCCCTGTGCCGCGGGGGCGTCTGGCAGTCGCAGAGCCCGGGCCGCCGCTTCATGCCCACCTGACAGCGCCTTTGTCCGCTCGTGGGCTGAGGGCATCGCCCGACTCCTCGGCTGTCACCGACCCAGGGTCGTTGCCACCAGGGGAATAGTACGTGTCAGATTTAGGCCAGGAAGCGGAAGTCGCCCGCAGCGAGTTTAACCACTCTGGGCGCGGGGAGTTGAGGTGATGGAGAGCCTGACACTAAGTATCTGTGGAGGAAGTAACTTGAGTGGGGAGAGTCTGTGACATCTGTGGCGGGCATGTCATCCAATTTTTAAAAATCGATTAATCGGCCTTTATTGTTTACTTATACAAACATTATGGCTGAAGTTCTAAAGATCCAAGTTTTGATTTATTTTCATTAGTGTTCAATTTCAGGTGCTCATTTGTAACTTTCTTCCCCTTTTGACCCATGAATTATTTAGAAGTCTATTGTCAAACTTGCAAAAATGCTTGGAGACCCAGAGGGCAAGGAAATAGGTACGTTATTGAGGAGGGTGCCAGGGAGAACAGGCCAGCGCAGTGTCCTCTGGAGCATGGGGAGTTTTATATGGGAGAGGAGTTTTAATAGGGGAAGGAAACCAGTGCTAGAGGCAAGTTTGGTAGGCTTTGATCCACAGTTGTTGAAATTCAACCTAAAGGAGCAGTTTATGATTTGGGCCCCCTCAGTCTGGCCACATCCTGTTCTCAGAATTAATGACTCAAAGAAATAATTAAGAGGGAGTGCAGAAAATTTTACAGCTCCTCATACCATTTTCCATTTCCCCTAACACAAAGTTAATTCCATGTTACTGACTTCTATCCCAATTGCACTGTAGTCTCAGAATGTCTGAATGATGTTGAGTCTTTGTTAAAACTGCCCTTAAAGCTTAAATACTGGCCCAGTTTTCAAAAGTGTGTCATCTCTTGACTGAAAAGACAGTGTATTTTCCAGTTGTTGTGTTTAGCGTATGTGTTTATTGGTCCAACCAAGCTTGTTTTTTAGGCCGTTTAAAATGTGTATCTCCTTCCTGATGATTTTCTTCTGCTTTCCCCATAAGTGAAGGCAGAAATTCTCCCACTGTATTGTTAATAAGTCAAGTTTTCACAGCAGTGGTCAATTCGTGCTTCCTATACTTTGAAGTTTTTTTAAAATCATTTTTAATTGTTATTCTATTACGTTGTCCCAATTTTCCCCCTTTGTCCTCCTCTGCCCATCCCCCCCACAGTCAATTCCCTACTGTGCAACAGAAAAAAGGAACTCCTACCTTTTGTGACAGCATGGATGGAGCTGAAGAATATTATGCTAAGTGAAGTTTTATTATTAAATGCAGGTAAGAGTATTTTGTTGATGAATAGATAAATACAGCCAAAGCACTTCCCCAAAAGACTAACATTTCCAACTCCCACCAGCAATATATGAATTCATTACGGCAAATCTCTAGCATTGGATGTCCATGCTCTCTAATTTTTGCCAGTCTGAGGGCTAGCAGTATTAAACTGCTTTAATTTGCATTTTCGTAACTACTTGTGCAACTGAGGATATTTTTCTCTTTGCTGACCATTTCAATTTTCTCTTCTGCCAGTCTTCAAATCCTTTGTCCAACTTTCTTTGGGGTGATTGTCTTTTTCTTATCAATTTGCAGAAGCTCTTTGTACATTAGGGATATTAACACTTTGTTAGTTGCATTGCAATATTTTTCCCCTAACTCTTTTTGCTCTTTGCATCTTATGTGTCCTTTGAGCTATAATTAGAAAAATGTGTTCTCTCATCTGAAAAGTCTAAGCGTCCTTTTCTGGCTTCTGTATCTCCTGTCTTGCATGATTTTCCTTCCTCATTCTGGGTAGTCCTAAAAAGGTAATCTTTTTTATAACAATGCAATGAAAATCCACTTTAATAAATATCACATAGTTTACCTGTAGTCTATTAAGTGCATTTTATTTTATTTTTTGTGTATGCATCTCACTTTATTATTTTTATTATTTTTATTTTTTAATTTTAAAAGATTTTTTTAAAGATTTAATTAATTTATTTATTTATAGAGAGAGGGAGAGAAACATCAATGTGTGGTTGCCTCTAGCGCGCCCCCCACTGGGGACCTGGCCTGCAACCCAGGCATTTGCCCTGACTGGGAATTGAACCAGCAACCCTTTGGTCTGTAGGCCAGCACTCAATCCACTGAGCCACACCAGCCAGGGCTCACTTTATTATTTTTAAAAATTAAAAATTGTTTGCAGTTAGTTTATATTCAATATTATTTTGTATTAGTTTCAGGTATACAGTATAATGGTTAGACAATCATATACTTTACAAAGTGTTCCCCCTGATATTTCCAGTACTGACCTGGCTAGTTATTACAATATTATTGACTCTATTTCCTATATTATACTTTACAACCCATGACTATTTTGTACCTACCGATCTGTACTTCTTAATCCTTTCACCCTAAAAAAGGTAGTCTTAATATTTATTTTTAAAATTTTTATTTATTGATGAGAGAGAGAAAGAGAAAGAGAAAGAGAGAGAGAGAGAGAGAGAGAGAGAGAGAAACATAGATTTATTGTTTACTTATCTATGTATTCATTGGTTGATTCTTGTATGCACCCTGACTGGGAATGGAACCCGCAATGTTGAAATATTAGGATGATGCTCTAACCAACTAAGCTGCATGGCCAGGCAACATTCATTTCTTTTTTATTGTTTTAATTTTTTTACTTGAACCTTTAATTTAGCTGGAATTAAGTGTGTGGCATGAGGTTAGAGTTGATCTTTGTTTTTGCTGTGTCAAATAAAAACAATTCTGGATGTAGATAGGAAGAGACTAATTAGAAAGAAAGACTATTGCAATAGGAAGAAAGCTCCCATCTCAGAAATCTGCAAACAACTCATAACCCAACAGGAAAAGGGCCTGCATTTCTTTTATAGCCAGGTTAAGGGGAAGGCAAGCCGAGGTCAGCAGAGTCTGTGGAGAAACTGCACAATCATGGGAATGACAAGTGGACCACCTGATTCTCAGAAAAAGCTGAGAAGAGGGACACCTTCTAAATTGTTTTTTGTGCTTGCTGAGGCAGAGGAGATCAAAGTTCAGGAGCCTGTAGGAAATAGAGAAGCCTGACTACAGTTTAGCTAACAAGCATTTTGTTCCAATTAATCAAAGTTTATTAGGCAAAGAATGGGAATTTGGAGGGTCTGTATCTGAAATTGAAACCTAAGTCTGAGTCCTTTCTTGGTCATATACAGAAATGGGGTTCTTTGCAGTATGCCATTTTCTGGAACACACACAAAAAAGTAAGGGCTTTTTTTTTTTTAAAGTGCCCTGTTTACCAAGTCACAGGGCTCAGGTAAAATTCATTATGAGCTGGGACCCTTTATGTAACACATTGCCCTGTATTCACTCAAATAAATAACACTTCTGTAATATGAGGTCTGTCTGGAAAAAAAGTCCAGCCATTGGTAATATAACAAGAATGGTTTGTGCAACATTGATGTAACCTGGCAGCCAAGGAGAGTGGAGTGGAATGAGCATGCATGAACAATAACAACTTCACTGTACTAACAGTGTAGGGCAGTAGACGCTGTTGAGTGAGCATGTATACTATTTGTCCAACACATTAGAATCGACTGAGTGAGTAGAGCAACAAATCTGCATCGAATTTGCCTTAAGCTTGAATATTCCTCTGTAGAAACTTTTCAGATGATTCAGAAGGCCACAGCTACAGGCAACTGGTGATTGGCAGCTTCGCCACGACAATGCGCCCACTCCTGCATCACGTCTAGTGCAAAGGTTTTTGGTGAAATGTCAAATCACCCAGATAACTCGGTCCCCCTACAACCCAGATTTGGCACCCTGTGACTTCTGGCTTTTCCCAAAACTAAAATCACCTTTGAATGGGAAGAGATGTCCTGTACTCGATGAGATTCAGGAAAATACGACGGGGCAGCTGATGGTGATTGGGAGAACTGTGTGAGGTCCCAAGGTGCCTACGTTGAAGGAGACTGAGGTGTCATTGTCCTATGTACAATGTTTCTTGTATCTTGTGTCTTCTTCAATAGATGTCTCTATTTTTCATAGTACATGGCCGGACACCTTCTGGACAGACCTCATGTGTTTCATTACATCTGAACTCTATTGCATGTCTGTAATCTGATTTCAAAGAATTTCTGTTCTTGCAAATTTATTTTTCTAGGGACACTGAAGTTTAAAATTATTTTATCAAGTTTCAAAATGAATACTATCCTCTACCTCCCCCAAAATTCCCAACAAAAGTATTGTGATTTTGAGTTAAATTTTATCTAATATTAATAGTTTGG